TGAAGAATATTTGCAACAGAGATTCTCAGCAGCTCTCGCTTCTCTTCCTCCAGTTGGGCGCACTTTGCCTTCAGAGCTTCTAGCTCATGGGAATCGGTGTCTTTTACCGTCTCCAACAGGTGGATCGATTTGGCAAATGGAGCATTCACATGTCTGCCGGTGATCGTCTCCATGAAATCGTCTTTGTAAATACTTTCTGCCAAGGAGTCGGGTAGACGGTCCTTTGAGTAAAAAAAGGTTAAATTAATTTCTGGGAGATGAAATACACTCAGTAAAGGTATAAACATACAGAAAGATCATATAGTTTGTACAAAAGAATTGAGTACTTGGCGTGACATTTAGAACGCCAATGTTGTATTCTTGGTTTTACTTGCTACTCACAGCTGGTTAGTAACCAGATTATCTGGGTAATTATTCTTTTCTGCTTAGCCATCCGTCTATTCCCAGTTTCCTGTGTTCCGTGCCTTCGTTCGCTTTTAAGTTGACAAGCATGAGTTGGCGTCATTTACAAGACTGCTCCTCTAAGCACATTTCTTGATATCTCATAACTCTCCCTCTCCCCCACTGCGTGAACAAATGGTGGCGGGCCTTTCAAATTGAGCCGCCTTTTTTCCTCCCCCCATTCGCATGTAAATTTTCTTAAATATACGTCGGTTGGCCTTCTTCGCGCATTATAAATTGGTTGTTATCCCTGCTTGTTTAGTTGAACTACAACAAGGTCATCAATGCACGACGCTAGCACCGTTTTAAAAGCAGTCCAATTTGGCCTACATTTGACGAATTTACCGAGAACATTTATCCACGATTTCGACAATTGCAGTCATTGACAATTATCAATTGCTTTTCAGTTCCTGGTGTTGTGCGTTTGTGCGCCTAATTTTATGCCTTATGGATGGAGGGCGTTTTTGATGAAAAATGTGCAATGATATTTTCAAAATGAAGCGTATCCCTCTCTCAGCACCCACGAGTACGAGAAACTTACCTGTCGAAAATTGGGCAAACGTAGGTAGTAGGGTCCTGTTTTCTTCGTTTCTGCTTAGTCATTTGTCTATTTTCGTTTTCCTGCGTTCCGTGTCCTCGTACACATTTCTTGATATATCATAGCTCCCCCCTCTTTACCACTGCGTGAACACTCACAAGCACGAGAAAATTACCTGCTGTAGGAATTAATTAAAGCGCTTTTTCAGGATTTTTCTCCTTTCAAGGAAAGAGAACTACGAAAACACGTCTACTTGGCGACCCGGCACCATGGGGCCTGTAAAGAATATCCTTCAAGAAATGCAGAAACGTAATACAGGTTGTGCAAAAAAGGAGTACTTAGTGTGACATTCACAACGGCAATGTTGTTTTCTTGTTTATATTTGCTACTAACAGTTTGTTAGTAACCAGACTATCTGGGTTATTTGAAGCATAGTTTTCCCGGTGAGAACTTGAAAATAGTAATGCAAAATTTTAATGGATCTGGGTTATGTTTCCTTCGTTTCTGATTAGTCATTCGTCGATTCTCACTTTCCTGTGTTGCGCGTCCTCGTGCGCTTTTA